TGATGGTGATGACGACGGTGATGACAGAGGTGATAGTGATGATAATTATGGTAAGAGGGAAATTAATGAATATTTTACAAAAACATTTGGGAGAAAAGCAGAAAAAAGAAACCATCAAATACATTACCGAACGAACAAAGACATAAAAAATTTTCTGCTAAATGGATTTAAACCTACACCATTAATGATTAATGACGAAGACGACGATAATGAAGATGAATATTAATCAAGTTTATTTTTTATTTCTTATTATTTATTTAGTTAGTATTTTCTTATTATTGAACAATTTTATATTGGGGAAAATAGTTGTTTGTCACATTAATAAAAAATAAATATTCCATCGTATAAATGAAATTGAGTTATTTTGTTTGACATTATTGATAAAAAATGAATCTTTCAATTATTGGGCTTAGCCGGGAATTGAACCCGGGACCTCTCGCACCCTAAGCGAGAATCATGCCACTAGACCACCAAGCCGCGGTATTGAAGTTAGATTTTGAATATATAAATTTCCTTTCTTATTTCGCTAATTTTTGGGTGATGATTATCATCGTCTCGTGATGTATGAAATAAATATTACAGTTTCCATATAATACCAATCAAAGAAACTTTTGATATTGTACGCAGTGTTACCCGATTATAATTATTCGATCAAATTTGTTATCAGTAATAGTTGCAACGATAATTACGCATTTGGTATAAACAATATTTTGCGCGTTATAGTAATTTTTTTGAATGAATGAATTAATTAATAAAAAAAAAAATATACATACAACAAAAAAAACAAAGAATAACAGAGACAAAGAAATTAATTAAATACAAAATGAATTTATGATTCAAAAAATTTTTTTTTTCTCTTTATTGCTACCGATAGATTAATTGATCGTTCTAATTAGATCATTAAATCAAGTTCAAATTGTACAAAATGCACACGCAAAATGCACGTTTACTTCATGTCACACATATCTTCCTTGTACAAAGTTCATTAATATCACACAAACAAATCGAATTTTTTAAATTCCAATCCATTTTGAAACTCAATAGGTTAATTTAAGTTGAACAAAATAAAAAAAACTTTTTGAAGAAATTATTTTTTATAGTGTATACATCCATTACATCATTGTCACCATATATAATCTCAGTAAACTACTTGCACGTGTGCAATTTTTTTTTTGTTAGATTTATTAATATAGATTTATGGATAAGAATGCGTTGCATTTAATGAAAAGAAAGTTTGCTTTTATTTTTTTTTTTTTATTTGTTTATAATAATAATAATAATAATAAATGACGATGATGACGACGACGACGACGATGATAATAAAAACAAATAATAATAATAATAACAAATAATAATAGTAATAATGATACTTTATGACCAATTTAATATAAGAAATGTTAATGGAAAAAAAAGGGTTTGGGGAAAATCCAAAAGTGCTTTGCTCCTTTGCAATTCACGTACGTGAAAATTAAATCAGTCAATCTACACCCTAATTAAATATGATAGTGTGGTATCGGGTATTGGCATTTAAAAAGTCTAGACCTTTCAACATTATTAAATGTCACACAATTATTGACCTCAACAACAACAATTATTAATCAAAATTATTAATCATAATTATTAATCATAATAATTGTTATTAATTAAGCAAAGAATATACAAAATACATACAACTTGATGCTTTTTAGCTTGGAAAAGACTTTTAATGTGTGTGACTGCTAAATAAAATTGTGTCAAGAGTAATTTTATTATAATCTTGGGAATTATTTAATTTGTAGATTAAACGCCACAATCAAAAATTATTATTAATAGAGAGTCTTGAATTTTGGAAATCTTGTTTATTTTGTTTACATTAAACCAATTTTAGAAAACCCAACAAAGTTATTTTTCGTACCAGAAATTTTTAACCAATCATTATCAATTAAGGTTATGATGATATGATAATTGAAATTTCTAAATATGAATTAAAGTGTTTCGGAATAAATTTTGAATACAATAATAATAACAACAATAAGATTTATAACGTAATTGGGGATGATGATATAATGAGTCTAATTATGGTCATCGTGAAATATATCAAGTAATGAGCGAAGGAGTTTTGAATTCCATGTTTTATTGTACCAAGGATGCTTTCATATTTGGAAATCTGATGATGTTTCATCTTGATTATCCAACGTTTTCCCATATAGTTATAATTTTAATTACATCATCCCAAGTAAGCACTTAAACGATTGGTTATGAGGGTCAACATAACGAGCTTGTTTGCATATGTTACTCCAAGTAATGCCAAAAAAAATCAATAACAATTATCATGTAAGGTAAGCATTTCATCATCATCGTCATCATTCAGATGAGTTTTCGCATGCTCCTGAAGAAAGTTAGAGATTATCATATAAAACATGATAAGAAGGAAAATAAAAGAATGATTATTATTGGTAATAATGGACCAAAAATAACAATTAATATTCATGTATAATATGAAAAAAATTTTTTTTCCTAAAAATTTTTCCTGTTAAATTTTTTTTTTTTTTGATATTAATTGCGTACTTGATGAATAAAACTTCATTGTTAGCCTGCCAAATTTAGCCAGATATATTGATTTTTGTTTTGGAAAATGTTAATACATCACCGCCACCATTCTATATAGCTGTTTCTCCCACACTTAATCAACCTGTCGATCACTACAAATGCTGCGGACTATAATGCCGATCTACAAATTGCGTGGTTATGTGGTTGGTGCATATTAGTAAGTCATTTTATTCATCACGCACATTTTTAATTTTTGAAGTTGAAAATCGCTCTTTATACCAAATTTGGTTAAAATCGTTGTTCGGGCCTTGTGGCTATAACGGTGCATCTTTTTTTACCATATTTATATATTACGGTTTTTGAAAGCTTTCATATATAACGATCAATTTGCGCCAATAAATAAATATTAATACAAAATATCATGAAAAATGACACCAGTCATTCAAAAGAGAAAATTGCAATCATATGCTTTCCGACTCTAATTATAATTTATATTATTTATATAATTGAACGTCCCTAACTGCAAGTTGGTTGGCAAATGGTCTTTTATGTGGTAAATTAAACCCAAATCGGTCTTAATAGAAGGTTCAAGTAGTATTATTGGATTTAAAGTATGTTAGATAGATAGACAGTTTAATTAAATGGTTTATGAGTGGTATATATGTATATATGCATATATATATATATATAAACTGACAGACATTAGTTGGACGGGTATAATTAAATACAGTAGCTTGATGTATATATTTTCTTTGTATTCTTTCTATTAATAGTTATATAGTGGATGCTTTTATGAATGTTTCAAATATAGAAAATGGATGTGGTTCATGTGAAAAATGTCAACAGTTCATTCATTAATTATTTACGCGACAAGAAAATTTGGAAAATCAAACCAATATTGTCTTCTTAATTTGCCCAATAAATTAACTCAATTATATATATTTATAATATAAAAAATTTTTTTTTTAAATGAAATGATTCAATGCGGGGTTTTTATGGTCACGTTTGATGAACTTTTCCAACTAATACACTTTAATAATTAATATTAGTCATATGCTCGTTCAATTTAGGCAATTAATTGACTGATTAGTGGTTGTAGCGAACGAAATAAAGTTTCGTTCATTATTTAAAATCAAAAGATCTTGTGATGTTTGTTAATTAAATGTGTAGTAGATAGGTGTTAATATACAATTTCCCTTTTCTGTTAAAGTTTAAGCCACACATTTAAGGTTCTGCGCTTTGTGCATTGTTTTGCATTTATTTGTGGTTTGTTTGGCGAGTGACGTGGCGCATAAGTCAGCTGGGCTGGCGCGCATGGATTTGTTTTTTTTTTTATTATTTGTTGCCACAATTCGTCACCATATATGTATGCACAATTAAGTAAGTTGACACTCTCAATAGTTTTTTCTTAGTCTTTGCATAATCTTTACTATAAAAAAACACCCCACTCGCCTGCTCACTAATTCATTGGACCCATTTTATTTATATTTATTATTTTGTGTTATTCATCACCTGTTAACAAAAACGATATTAGGGTGTATACTTTTTTATATTACCCCGAAAGTCAATCCCGAATTTTTTAAAATAGTAAAAAATTTTCAAATATACTTTAATTATAAAAATTTTTTTATATTCATGAATATATATATAAAAAGTCTTATTTTTTCTACTCCATGAAAAAATAAATTCAATAAATATTTTTTTCCAACATTCTAAAAAAAAAGTGATTTTTTGTAATAATAACAATAATAAAATAATAATAATCTTGTAAAAAAAACATTTTACTAATTTTTTTTATTCTTTACTTTCTCTCTCATATTTATACTCGTATATTCTTTCTTCTCATTATTATAACCGATAAACTTTCTAAAAAAAAATACAACCACCAACACACACATAACTGTAATTATCTATAATTTTCCATTTCATTTTATATCAACAAATTAGTTTTTTTTATACTTTTAATAACGAATCAAAACTTTTCAAACTGTACAAGAAGATAAACAAGCAAGAGATAGATATTCATTCATATCACACACATTCACACACAATATACATACATACATAAAAACACCCTAACGTTTTTACTACAAGCGAAATTTACTTTCCTTTTCTTATATTATTTATATAAATTCGTGTAACAACATTTACTCGATCCGAATATCTCGAATATCAACCAACAAACTAATATATAATGACTGCAGTCAGACGTACTCCATCATCTAACAGAAGAGCTAGAGGGCCAATCAACAAGAGAGCTTGCCAAAGATGTAGGCTTGGAAAGATAAAATGCGATGGTGATGCAATAAGTAACCGATCCTGCAGTAACTGTGAACCATCAGCTTGTATATACGACACAACGCCAAGAAAGAATAAACAAATCGAGCAAATGAAGGAACAAATGGACACACTCCAACAACGAATAATGGGCATCTACAGTGATTTCCAAGGAAAATTGGCGATTAAAGAAAAGGAAAAGGAAGTTTTGTGTCTATTGTATGAATCAAAAGAATATTTTGGTGGTTGTGCAGAGCATTTAATTACATTCGATAATTTGAAAAATATAATTAAACAAAGCACTTACCTCCCAGGATACTTGGATTTTATTGGTGCTCTCATATCGAATTTTAATTTAAATCAGGATAAGGTCCCTGGGATTATTGAATCTTTGGAACGGATCGTAAGTTGCACTGAACATCATGAGAGAAATGCTCCCGGAATTGATCATTTGAAAAGGCAACAAGATGATTGTCATAATCATGACGAATTACATTATCATCATAATCATAATCATAATTATAATCATCATCATAATAATCATCATCATCAATGTAATAATCTATTAGATCATGATCGCCAACAATTTCCAGACAATGGAATAATTTTGACTTCTAATAACAACGACTTACCGATACCAGTACCATCGTCAATAGATCAAACACCTATTATAAATATTTATAGTATTCCAAACACCACTGTTGTTAATAATGATTACAACATTACTCCAGCGCCATTTGATCAACAACAACATAATAACGATACAAACACCACCAATATTAATGGCATAAATTATAATTTAATATATAACCCATATATGTATAATAACGATCAATTTATTGTTATAAATACTACATCACCATCATCATCAACATCACCACCATCACCACCATCACCACCATCACCACCATCACCACCAATATAGCAATTATTGAAAGATAAAATAAATCAAAAAGAATTATTATTATTGAATTCTTGAACAAATAAAAATTGTGTATGATTACAAGTAAGAGATGAGATTGGATTGGATTTGGGTTAGATTGGCAAATCTGTTGTTGAATTAGTCAACTAGACCAATCAACTGATGGATCAATCTCTAAATCAGCCACCACCACTAAAAATTAGCTACTAGTTAATAATCATCCTTATTTAATAATAACCAGCTAATAATTTTAGACATTCTATAAAACCATAATTTCCGATTAAAAATTTTTTTTTTGTAAATAGTAAAAATATTTTTTGTTGACGTAGTTTTTTAGTGGCTTTACAAAATATATGAATGGTTCTTTTTTTTTTTTTTGATTATTATTATAATTGTGTTTTTATTATTTTTTTTTTGTTTTTTTCATATTGTAATAATGATAATTTTTTTTTAAAAAAAAATAAAATGAATTCAATCTTTTTTGAATTGGAAAAATAATATTCATGCATGTGTGAATTTCCCAATGAATTATGTGTGATCTACACATTCAATCAATGATCAATTTCGGCAATAAACTTCTTGGCCGCAGTCATCAGTCGCCGAGCTTTTCTTGATCTTGGTAATTTTTCTCTATGATTTCATAATACCTTATTACATATGACAACAACAACAACAATAATAATATAAAGTTTCGACTCAGGGTTGGCAATAGACTGAGACAAGTCAATTGGCATTAATGTAATGCTAAATATGGTTAAATTAGAACCCAATGGACCAATAATCACGGAAAACTCATCATTATCTTTATTGTTTTGTCGCATAAGTCGTTTAAACGCAGCGTTTTTACATAGTAATAAATATCAAGTCTATCTATATATACATACAATTAGAGTTCCTATTCGTATATTAGAATATTCGTAATTTTATGAAAATGATATTCGATTTTTATTCGAACATCCGTAATAATCAAATTCCCGAGCGTTTATATTAATTTTTAATGCCTTATTTACAACTAATTATTATGTGCGAGCAAAATACAAAATTTATCATTGGTAATGGACTCTTCTGATGGAAAATTGGAAATTTACCATTAACATTAATTAAAATTACAGATAGAAAGTATTACGGATACTCGAAAGTGTTATGGATATTCGAAAGTGTTACGGATATTCGAGAGTATTATGGATTATGCATATTCGAATATATAAAAATTATTTGACACCAATTTCGAATATGCTAATTAATATTAATTAATATTAATATGAATATTCGAATATCATTTCGATTGCTTATATTCGAGTAGTAGTAACATACAATTTCGCGATCCTCGCTTGAATATCACCTATAAAGGAAATAAAATCATTGTGATTGGTTACACGATTCAAATCTTTTTCACACAAATTCAAAAATGAAAGAAATTACTTTACTTTTTTTCCCCAATCAATTAATTTCTAATTGATTCGATTGTTACAATCGATTTTCTTTTTCCAAATTTCTTTATTTTCATTTTTTCCACTTTAAAATTTGTCAATTGATCTATTGATCTCATACTCTCTCTTTCCCATTCATTCATCATCATCATCATCATCATCATATCTATTTTTAAAAAAAGTCATATTAATATGTGACACTGCGAATTAAATATGTTCAATTATGACATATTAGGTTTTTTTTCATTTACTTACATATAATAAGATTACATTTGTTCGGTTTTATCTTTTCTCGTTAATAATAATAATAATATATATAAAATGGTGAACATGCGTAAAAATCAACAATTATTACTACAAAAAAGAAAACCAGAACCAGTAGTTTATAAAGAAATAAGAATAAACGTCGAAATAAAACAATCGGAAAACAATATTTTTAATTTTCCTGATTTGTGTAAAGAAGCTGGCATAGATCTTACAATGCCCAAACAAAAATATAAAAATTATCATTCCGGTTCTGACACTGATGATAACTCTGCAGAGTTTTGTTCCGATTCTGAATCAAATAATAACAACAATAATAATGGAGGAAAGAACAAGAAAAGGAAAAACAAAAATAAGACAGCAGAGGAGGAGGAGGAGGAGGAGGAAGAAGAAGAAGAAGAGGAAGAAGAAGAGGAAGGAGAAGAAGAGGAAGATCTTCAACCAGAGGAACCTCAACTCAATGAACCTGGTGATGATTTCTTTAGGAGGATACTTGAGAATTCTGAAAAATACGCAGAGGAGGAAGAAGAACAGGTATATTATACAGATATATAAGAGTGATGACGACGATCAACATTTAATTATGATAATGAACGATTGATGATTGATTGATTTGATTCCACATATAATTTAGAATAATAGGAAAAAGAAAAGACAAGAAAGATATGATATCTCTGATCCATTCATCGATGATAGTGGTATGGTTCCATTTCGACTAGATAAGCCTCGCCCTAAAATCGAAGGTTTCTACGTATGGAGAGGTCCATTAGAATTAGAAAATACGTAAGTCGTTATGATGTAAGATGATATATATATATATATATATATACATATACATATTATTTATAACAAATAACTAAATTAATTAGAAATGAAAAGGCTCCTGGAAAGAAGAGAGCATATAAACGTAAAAAGAAAGACAACAATGAGGAGGAGGAGGAGACAAGAGGCACACCAAAACCTCGTAAAAAACGTAATAACAATACCAAATCAAAATCATCAGAGGAACCTGCCAAAAAAGGCAATGGGAATGAGGAACCGAAAACTAAAAGAACAAGAAAACCTAGAAAACCAAGAAAACCAAAGAATAGCGATTCCTCCACCACCACCATAACCAACACGGCTACTGAAACAACAACTGGAATCAATCTAGAAAATTCTTTATCTTCCTCCTCTTCTTCTTCCAATAATAATAATCCAACAACAGCCATGGGCGATATTGATATTGTACCTTATAATATACCTGATAGTATTCAGCAAACATCAAAAGATCCATCTTCGTCATCTTCCAATTCGAATGCGCTTGATGACACTCAACAGAAAACTCTTAATAAAAACCGATCCAAAGAACATAAAGAGCATAAAGAACAAAACAATGATATTGTAACTAGCATCATGTTATCGGCGTAATAGTTGATTTATCGATTATTTAAAATAAATTTAACTAATAAAAATTTTTTTCTGACATGATTAATTTTTCATTAGGAACCATTAAATTCTGAATTGCAACAAATCTTATCAATTTTTAAAGATGAAATATCAAAAGGTTTGAATTATAAACAAATGAAAATTTTTGTTAATAAAATGATTTGATATTTAAATATTTATTTATATGTTTCAGAAAGCTTTCAAGTCAAATCAAGATTTCCACAAAGCCTTAAACCTACTTTGATTAAATTATTGTCTAAAGCATATGAACTTGGTGAATTTAATGAAAATCTTTTCAAAAATTTGACAAACATTCTACCTTACAATAAATTCACCATAACAGTAAGCCTTGACATTAGCTATTGATTTATTAATACATCATTAATTTAAAATTTAAAATTTTTTATTTTCACATATAGCGTCTTTGCTATAGAACAATGTATCCAAAGGCAATCCACGATTCACGATTTAAAAAAACAGATTTGATTTCACAATTTAAGTCATCAGTCGATGAAGCAATGTCTAAACTATTAAAAGAATACAATGAACGTCTAGCAAAAATGGAATCTGCTAACGCCAACAACTCTTCGTCGTCGTCATCGTCATCATCTACGTCGCCACCATCTTCACCATCAAATATGGATGAAGGTGCCAATGGTGCCAATAAATCAAAGAAATTTAATAACAATAATAATAATAATAAAACGAATAATAATTCGAAATTATCAGTATCCAAAAAATTTAAATGGGATAATCATATCAAGTCCTTACTATATCAAATAATTCAAACTGAAATGTCTATCGTAATGATGTGTAATCAACTCGCGTAAGTTGTTAATTCATTATTATTATTTTTATTGGTGCTTGTATATAATTTTTGAAAAATGAGAGAGCACCAATAAAATTATTTAATATAATAATAAATAGTGAGGCAGAAGAGAGAACCGAAAGACAATCTGAACAAACTTCTAGAAAAAAATTGTATCAACATGTAATTAATTATATTTATTTATAAAAATATATAATATTTTACTGACTTAAACTAAAATATTTAATTTATTAGCTTTTAGCAATTTGGCCAGATGAGTGGATGTCATCTAACGAAATAGGAAAAATTTACAGTGCATATAAAAAGAAACAGCAATCTTGATTATTGATGATGATAACAAGCAGTGATATATTCTTTTTTGCATCGTTATTATTCTTTAGAGCAATTTAATAGAATCATCATTTCATGTATATCTAAATATTTTTAATTTTAAATAGATTTAATTTAATATATTTATTATTATCAAATCTCTATAATATTAATTAGAGAAAAATAAAATAAACCTTTTATATAACAACTCTTCTTGTTTATTCTTTGTGCTATTCGAATACCAATTTATAAATATTAATAATTGTAACCGTTTGTGAAACCTACCTATCCTATCCATTAAAATATTTATATTATATTGTTGTTCATTTTTTTGGGTGGAAAGGTTTTGGGAAAGGACCTTTTGAATTTGAAGGATCAGATCACCGTAAACTCAATTAAAAAGTCGACGATTGATTTTGGGAATACTTTTTTCTCTGTTAGTAATATGCAAATCAATAAAACTTCCAATTATTTCTCATTCCGATTTACGTGCGCATTTTTATAATAATAATAATAATAAGGGTAAATAGTAAATAATAGGGAGTGGATTTAGTAGTTTTAACATTTTTAAAAAAGAAAGTTTTAGTGTAATAACCGACCCGAAACCAGAACTCCGATATTTTAGTGCGCCGGTGTGACATTACTCATTTACATTTATGGAATATGATGAACGTTTTTATACGAAAAAGAAAAAAGAAAAAGGGCTTGTAAATGAATTCACCAGATACTAATACTAATAAATAAACTCACTTATTAAAACTTCCAAAAACATTTATGAAATATTTTCTTTCAATTTTTTCCTTTCTTTCTCTTTTTCTAGTTTCCTTTTTTTCTTTCCTCATTTTTTTTATTCCTTTTACAAGATTTTTAATTTGTTTCGCGTTTATAAATTCGCGAGTTCATTATTTATGAATTACAATAAATGGAAAAACAATAAAGCAGAAAATACAGAGTAAGAAAAGATCCTGTTTGAAATAATAATTAATTAGACAATATAATGTAAATCAAATAATAAATAAATAATCGATCTCTTTGTTTGATTTTTATAATTGTTCACATCACAACATAGTAATAACTTATTAGTAAATTGCGCGGAACGTCATCTTATGGATCAAATCAAATTTTGCAAACTTATCAATCTATTGTATTAGTGTGTACTTATGAATACGCATATAAATAGACATGTATTAAATGCCATAGATGTACGTATGTATAAATTACGGAATAAGAACTTTTTCATTGGTGAGCAAGGAATTATTAATTAATAATTGTTATAGGTAACTTGTTATTATTTATTATTATTATATATTATTATATTATTTATGATTATTATAAGTAATTGTTGTTGGTAAACAAAAATACGACTTCTTTGTTGCATGATTATTTCATCTCATTCATTCCAAGAAAGGCCTAGCTAGTATTGATTGACTCGCTATAAATGTAAAACAACAGAACATAATTCCATATTTTTCTTTGATAAACATTTTATCATTATCAAAGGAATAGATTTCCGGCTTTATTGGCGATTATTAATTGGTTGGTTGTCTTGTGCGATTTGGTTCGGGATAGATCCTTCTTCAAATGATATTTATTACTATTAATATTATTTATTTATTCGTTGGCGTTCAGCATATTGTCGCCTTTTGTGTACATACACACGTATAAATTATACATGTAAATGTCTCAGAACTTGTATCATATCGGGAAACTCAGTAGACTCAGAGAATAATTTTTCCCAAGTCATTATTCTTTTTGCCCCTATTTGTATGCGTTTTTGTTAGATTGGCTGATGATAATAATGTATGTTTAGTCAATGTTTAATTGAATATATAAACAAAACGATAAATATAACGCGTATTTCGTATTACTTATTGTTTATGTTATTATTGTTATCTATCTGCGTTAAAGATTTAACAATTTCAAAATAATCAAGCACGTGATACAGATGTCTTGTAATAATTTCTTTAATCCTTTTTTATTGATTTATTTTTATTTAATACAATTCAATTGATCCCTATTAAGCTTAAAAAAGTTTAAAAGAATGAGAATAAATGTCAAAAAAAAAAAAATGGAGGGATTTCAAAAATGGTCAAAAATAAAAAAGGGTGGTTGACACCACATTTTTTAATTACTTATCCGAAAAGGGTAAAGATCAATTATATAATCTCTCATATTCATCACCTACCTACTAAATATGATGGCTTATCACTCGCATTATAAATAAATAATGTTTATTTTTAAATTTTTAAAATTAAAAAAAAAAGAAGTCATCTTCTTTTCTCTCTGCAAACAATGGTCAAAGATATATATATATACATGAAACAATTTTCCCCCTGAATTCATTTTGCTCTGTATTCGCTAATTATAAACAATCTTATTTATATAACTGGAAAGAGTTGGGAAGAGTTGGAAAGACTTGTGATTCTTACCTTTTTACTTACACGCATCTATTGGAAAGTCTTTTTAAATTTACGTTCACAATGAATTGAATTGCCATTCTTTTCATGATGAAACATGTAAACAAAAGACGTTACAATATAATAATAACAATATCAATATTCGCCAATATTCCATAGTCGATGATGTTTTTGGCCACCAGAAAGTGTATGCGTGTCACAATATGAATCTAAAAAAAAAAAATCTTTCTAAATATAAAATAAAAAATCTATTTTTATTATTATGCTTAAATTTTCCGTTAATATTTTAAGCTTTTATACTGACCAAGCGCCAGAATTTTTGATTGGCTAATTTAAATTTAATAGATAATCAAATTATTTAATCTTGAATTTTAAAACTTTGTATTCATGTGGAACTCTACTGGAAAAAATAAATAAATCTTTTGCGGACCCCTCTTAGATGTAACGCACATATAGCTAGCTAATACACTGTTGATGATAACCAACTGTCTATCAGAGTGTATTGCCAAGATAGTTAGTTATTTAATAAACAAAGCTTGGACATTTGAATTGATGAAGGTTTTGTTCTCAACAGAACATAGAGCACTTTGATGATGAAATTTTAATTTATGATTAATGAAAGTTTTGGATTTTGAACAATAGATGGATGATAATTATTTATTAAATGGTAGCACCATTGAAGAGGAATTGATTTATGTAAGTAGATAGATTTGTTACCAAATCTATTGGATTTATTTTGTGATAACACCATCAACTATAAATTATGATAAATTTTAATAATGTTTTGACTAATTTAGTTAATGATAATAATTATCGTCATGATTATTAAGGAAGTTTTATGCTTGCACCGGTAACTTAAGCATATATGAAGATTGGGTGGATCTTGCTGGTAAAAATGCTGATTCAAATTCTTCTTTATTAGTTCATTCCAAGTTGAAAGTAAAGAACATTTCCAGTGATTAATAATTTTTATTTACGAAAAATAAAAAATAAGTGTAGAATGTCTTTTACATTAATATAATAATTCAAGGAAAGTTTTTTAAATTATTTACAAAAAATAAAAGAAAATGTAAGAGGAATAAGTAAAATATAAATTTTTATATTAATAACAAAAGAAAGATTTTTAACTATTTATTTAATTGTTTAAGAGTCTTATTGACAGCATCATCAAGTACAAATGGTAAATGATTTTTTTTTAGGGCTCTTCGCCAAGCATATTATTATTGACATAATAATAAATAATAATAATAATAATAATAATAATAATAATAATAATAATCACAAGGGACCAATATCACCATTTATGCAACAATAACAACGACAATAGCAAACTATTTTGTCATTATTGTAGCAAAAGGCAAAATCTAAGGATAAAAAAGAACATCCATTAAAGAAGTATAGTGCCAAGTACAGAAATGCATATTACATTTCTTCACGCTCACACTCAAACTTGTGAACAAAAACCATGTTTAGCAAATGTTTAATAATTGAATTAAACTAAATGTTGTAATTGATTAAATAATGAAAATGCAATGTCTAATTTAAAATCCTTTTTTTTTCATCTTGATGATGATATTAATTACTAAAAAAATATTATTTAAATCACGAGTTGTCATGATAGAATTCTAAGCCACTGTTGGTCATGGCAACCAATTACAAGACCATATGCATATCAATTGTTTTTGTACATGACCACATTCCCCTCGCATAAAGAACAAAATTGGCAAAAGATAAGATCCTTCAATATTATGACAATGACGATCTTGCTTACAGATACATCCAATTTGGATTGGTCATTGTTAAAATTAACCACGCAGTGGTCATGCGACATATCATTCATTTTTTATTTATTCCCAATTACCAGGAAAATTGCCCATTTCTTTGTTTAATTAAATAAAAATTGCCATTTGACACATGCATTTTTTCGATAAAAAATATATTTAAAAATGAATTTCCCTAAATCATGAAAACAAATGCACAACATCCATTATCATTATACAATAGAAAATGGCAATTACTAGCATCATTTAAAGTCAACAATAATCGCATTCAAACAGCCATAATAGTAATAATTAATACAATGACATAATGATATTAGTGTATTTTGCAAAAGAAAATAAATACAATTACTTGATTAGTATTTATTTATTCACGTTATTAACAAATAAATATTATTGAATTATCGATTATTAAATCATATGATATTTACAAAATCTGAACCTTTTCATTTTGTTGTTCTACTTTTTAGGTATTTTATATTTTTTCGTTTCTTTTTTGAAATTTTTTTTTCATTTTCGTTTTCGTTTCTTTCTAAATTTGAATTATTTCATTTCATTTATTGATTTACAAGTAACAAAGAAATAGATCAAGTGATATTTGGACTTTACTATTATTACATATGATTATTCTATAAGCTAGGCTCATGCATATAATAATAATAATCATAATTAAAGAATATTAGGGTTCGCCCATTTTTTAAACTGGTCGATTTATTTTATCAAAGAATTTTATTTTGAATTCAATTCATCACAATCCACCCTAAAAATAAATAATAAAATGGTGTCAATTTGTAATTTGTAATTGTAATTTGTAATT